TGATTAGACTACTTGATAATAAAAACTTATCCTTTTCCCAATTTTAGTTGCGGGCAAGTTTTAGCAATACTACCAAGTCAAGTACACCCTACACATGCAAGTCTAAAAGTTGAGCAGCGGAAAGTAAAGACTTTGCATATGAATGTAAAGGAGGGATCGGGGAAATCAAACACAATGAAGACACGATGATTTTTGTCGTGGTTCCAATAGGTGGTGCTATCGGACATCCACGTTGATGGAGATTTCAACCCATGAAGGATAACGGGTGCACGAATCCACGGAGGGCTCCACCCATGAAGGGTCCACAAAGAAGCAACCTTGTCTATTCCATCATGGCTTAGGCCGACGAAGGACTATCACTCGGGTAGATCTTCACAAAGTAGGCGACCTCCTTGCCCTTACAAACTCCTTGGTTCAATTCCACAATCTCTTGGAGGCTCCCAAATGACACCTAACCAATTTAGGAAACACCACTCTCCAAAAGGTAATAGACGGTGTTGTTGATGATGAACTCCTTGCTCTTGTACTTCAAATAGTAGTCTTTCCAACACTCAATCACTCTCTCTCTTAAATTTGGCTTTGGTAGAAAGAGGGGATTGAATGAAAGTAACTTGGGAAAAGCTAGAAATTAAGGTTCAAATGGTTGGATTGTAATATCTTCATCTCAACACATGAGTAGGTGATTCTCTCTCAGAAAATGAGTAATGGAAGTAGTGGTTCGTTTTGATGGCTCTCTTAGAGAGTAGGTGTGGGGGTGGAGGGGTATATATATATAGGCAGCACCAAAATCCAACCATTACAAGTCTTTGACCCAACTTGGTGGCACCAATCAGAAAATCTCAGTGAGACCGACTAGTGCAAAAAACTTGACCATTAGGCTTTTTGGTGAGACCCACTAGTGCAAAAGACTTGACTGTTAAGCTTTTCGGTGAGACCGAACAGAATGAGTCAGTGTGACCGAAGTGCAATGGCTAGGGCAAGACCTCATTTCAGTAGTTTCGATTGTTTCATCTCGGTAATTCCAAAATGAAGCAACTTCATTACAGAAATTTGGTCAGGCCATCTCGAGGGACTGAGGTCCATATCGGTTGTACCGAAATGTTAGGGTTTGATATGTGGCAATGTATGGAGTCATCTTGGTGGGTCCGGATGCGAAGGTTTTGGTGGGACCGAGATGGACATTTAGGGTTTTGGACAGGTGTGATGTGGATAAGTGGTTGAGGATTTTTGGAGCAATATCACTAAGCACTTGAGCAATTAAGTCATGAGCAAAAGCTCATCCCCTTTTGATAGTATTGGCTTTCCAATGGACTCAATGTGATCTTGGGTTACTTAACCAAACATGTAGAGTCTTGGAGCTTTGTCAATTCTTGTCCTTAGCATTTTGAGGGGTCCATAATCACTAGTCCTTGCCATGCCAATCATTGATCTTCTCTGAAATCTATTTATCAATGAGCATTAGATCAATGACTCATATGTTGTTATTAATCACCAAAATCACCCGGAGATTAGTTGCACTTTCACTAGAACAACATGTATTAGAGCATCTATAGCCGGGTGCCTCAAACGCCCGAGCAGGTCGCCCGATCACTGATCGGTCAAAAAAGTCAAACCACTCGGGCGCCTCAAACCGGCCTTAAACACCCAGGCTATCCAACGCCCCTCATATCCAGCCCAAATGTAGGGCAGATATGGGGCGGCTCAGACATGCTCGGGCGCGTCTGCCACGTCCGCCTGGCCCACTCCGACCTCATAAATATATATTCTCCGATGAACCCTAGACCACAGTCCGCTCAGTCCCTCCGTCCACTCCTCTTCCCAATCCGCCGCTTCCTCTCTGTATCAGATCCATGACGGATGACAATGCTCTGTATCGCTCCATCTGATGGTGTTGCTACTAGTGCATCATGCAGCGCTTGGGGTTCGCCGTGGGCAGCAACCACACCTGGCCGGTGGCATCGGCCGCCGAATTGTCCCACGGCCTCCACGTATGGTGCAATGGTGAAGCTCACCTGCTTCCCTCCCATGCACAGAAGGTGTTTGTTGAAATGCCAGAAAGAGAGAGAGAGGATTGATGCGGCCCCACATGTCAAACGGTCTAAAAATGGAGTCGACTTTCCTGCCACGTCAACATTGACGGGTGGACCCCATCTGTTATAAACGCGCTTAAATGGTCTAAAATGGTTATGAAATTGAAGTGGTAGTTTGAGCGCAGTTTACCCCTGAAGTGGTAGCCTTTTTCTACTGTTAAGAAAGTGATAGTTCAGTGGGACGGGAACCCAAAAGGTGATACTATTTTGTTAAATACTCTCTTCATTCATTTATATGTTCCTTTATGTAAGGTGCATTTGTTCTAACTCCTCGTAATCCCGTTCTTAGCCCTCCAGAAAAAGAAAAGTATCTATCACCTGATTGCATATATCTCTCGTAGAATTTTTTTGGGAAGTATATCTTTCCTGATTGTATGTATCTCTTACTTTTCTAGGTTAAATGATTTACTTTCCGATAATCAATGAACTAACAAGGGTAATTTCATCCCAATTTGTCTATAATTATATGACTTGGTCACTGTTCCGAAAATAATACACTTTACATAAAGAAATGGAGGGAGTACTCGATATTGGCCGGACTATGGCACTGTGGTACTATACAATGATCACCAAACTAAGAAATGTCAGACTCCACCAATAACTTATTTAACTACCAAAACCGATAGTTAGGCGTTTTGGCTCTCGGCCTCCATGGAGGCTTTTTTTGAAAAAGAATATCAAAAATCAAAATTTTTAGGTTGAAAAAAATCTAAAATATTGTGTACAAGTAAACAAGAATGTTATGCATATGTGTGTAAAATTTTAGGATGAAATACGTTGAAATGCGATCTGTACAAAAAAGAAAAAATCATGGCCTAGAAGGATTATCATGTGTTAAAAAGCCTCAGGTTTGTCTTTTTTTGCACATCCCTCATTTCAATGTATTTCGCCCTGAAAATTTACACACACATGCATCATGCCTCTATTTATATCTATATTTTTTCAGAATTTTATGAAATGTAAAAAATATGAATTTTGAATATTTCAAAAGACGGCCTCATTGGAGCTCGGCCTCCAAAAAGGATTTTCGCTTCTTTCTTGCCAATCACATTCACTTTGTATTTTTTTTTTCGAACCATGCAGGAAGACTGCATGTATTATATTAAAGAGAGAAGGAGAAATACACAACCAACGTCCATTAGAGTTACAAGAAGGACAACCTAAACTTCAGCAAACAAAAAAACCCAAAACCCTGACTGTCTACAAAAGCCTCAAAAAGAACGAAACTAAAATAATACAAAACGACCTAGACTTGCTTCTGCCCAATGCATCACATCAATCTTGATCTGATTGATGATTCCTTGAAGCGGTGTGTGCGAGTTTTCAAAAATTCTGCCATTTCTTTCCCTCCATATACTCCATATAATTAGTGGTACCATAGTGTTTAAGGAATTCCTTCTAGGTCCATGGACTCTATTTCTGGCCTTTTGCCATCAATCCCGGAAATCAGGAGCATTTTGAGGGATGGCGTCTCTCAGATTTGCCCAAAGAAGCACTGAACTCCAAATGATGGTTACAACACTACAACCCATGAAGAGATGATGAACCGATTCTTGCGCAATATTGCAGAAACAACATGCAACATTATGAGGCAAATCACGCTTAGCTAGATGGTCCGCTGTCCAGACACGCCTCTTGACGACCAACCAGAGAAAGAGCTTGCATTTTAAAGGAGCCCAAGCCTTCCAAATGATGCGAGAAGTATTACACATAATTGATGCAGCGTAGTGTACCTTATAAACAGATTTCGCCGAGTAGGTACCTTTAGAATTCCACGACGAGAACCGTTTGTCTTGAGCACCATGAACTTCAGAGATCGCCTCCCATAAGGTTAAGATCTGATGAAAAATGCAAATATTTATTTTCCCCTTTATGTCCTTGATCCATACTGCACTAATCATTGCTTCTGCTACTGTTCTTCTCTCCCTAACGACCGGAGGTACGGAATTAAAAACTTCTGGCGCAATATCTTCTACTGTGACGCCATTGATCCACTTGTCAGTCCAAAAGAAACATCTGTTTCCGTTGCCTAACTCAACATGAGCAGCAGCATTGAGTAGACGCCTTTCATGATTTTTCAAAGGATTTAGTAAGATGCTCCATGCACGATTATTTGATGTACGACATTCACTTTGTATTTGCGAGCAATCTCAAAATGTTGGAGTATATCTTAGCATCAGGAAAGAAAGTAACCTAGGCAAGGGCAGTATTCAGAACATAGAGCATCCGGCTGTGAAAATACAAGCGACTGATATGTGGGCTCTTATAAAAAATGGGTGGAAATACTGTGCGTTGTTTGTCAGAAAATATAGATGGAAATACAAGTGATTGAGACGTGGACTCTGTAAAAGTGTCCAATTATTCAGTTTTGCAGCTGTACTGACGGACGAGGAGCTGCGAGAAACAAAGCAAGAGCCTCCAAAAATCTGACGTCAGATTTATAGTGAATCAGTTCGTATTTCTTCTGAAAGTTTCTGTGTCTACACGCACGGGTTTTATGTCTGAGAATTTGTCACCTTTCCGGTCCATTGTAGGATTGCTACAGCACTGATGTATTTTCACTGCCCAAAAATGCTCCTAATTTCACCTCCGATGACACGCCCCGCCGCGCTGATCAAGTTTTGCATCAGCCAAGGTCGTCTGCCACCCATACATCAGTGCCGGCCTCCTTGTCCACCGCCCCCAGCATAGCATGGGCATGGCAACATTGCTGCTACTCCTGTCCTGTGCAAGCTCGTCCTCCGCGTAGGGAAAGTACTGACTGGCCAAGACGCGCATTCACTTTCCCCTACCCTGCGGAGAACCACCACTGACCACACGGCACACTCCACACTCCACACAGCCTCTGCTCTGCTCTGCTTCCTTTCTCCAGCCGTGAAAACCCCAACCCAGCCCAGAAACCCCACCGCAATGTCCAGCGACGACGAGCTCCGCGGCCTCCTGGTCCAGGAATCCACCGCCGCGATCGTCTCCGGCGCCGACCCCTCCAGCCCCACCGCCCGATCGGCCCACTTCCTCCTCCCCCGCGCGGGGGCCGCTCCCCTCCCCGCTCTGCCATCCCCGCCACGCAATGCCGACGAGCTCGCGGTGGAGTGGACGGACTGGCCCGGCTGCTCCAAGCTGTGGAGGCGGTGGGTGGCCAAGCTTCGGCCGCGGCACGAGCGCCTGTGGCGCAAAATTGGGATCTTGGACGGCGTTCTCGCGACCACGGGCTGGGTGCGGCGGGACGAGGACCTGCTGCTCCAGCTCGCGGGTTTCTGGTCCGGCGAGACCAACACGTTCCTCTTCCCGTGGGGTGAGGCCACGGTGACGCTGGAGGACATGGCCGTGCTCGGGGGCCTGCCCCTGCTGGGCAGGCCGGTGTGGTCGCGGCTCCCGGACGAGCTCCGCGGGGACGTGGACGCGCTCCAAGCCGTCCGGATCGCGCTCAACTGGAGCAAGAGCAAGAGAGTCAATTATACCTTGTGGGTTAAGCAATTCATCGAGGAGACCGGTGCCGGTGCTGGTGCCGCTGGCGACGGCAGAGGAGAGGCCGAGGCGGCCACATTGCTCGAGCACGGGGCGTTTCTGGCCATGTGGCTGACCAGATACGTGCTTCCGGTGGAGTCATTCGACGTGGTCAGAACGGACGTGCTCCCCCTCGCCGCCGGACTGGCGCGCGGCAGGTGCTCGGCCCTCGCACCTGCCGTACTTGCCAACATCTACAGTGACCTCTCCGCACTCAGTCGCCACTTAAGCTTGGGCGCCAGCCATCAGCCGTTCGTGGCGAGTGCGCCACTGCACATCCTCCAGCTATGGGTCTGGGAGCGCTTCCCGGAGCTTTGCCCTGCCATCAACTCCCACGGTGGTGATCCCGGCATGCCGAGGGCTGCCAAGTGGTACAATATCAGAAGGATGCTTGATCCTGGGCACATCCATGCAGTGTTCATGTCCCCGGATGAGTTCAAATGGAGGCCGTACGGAGGCAGTAGCTTTGCTCTGCCACAAGCCAAAGGTGGCTGCTGGGTGCACTGCAATGAATTAGCAACAAGCAAGGGATTGCAATCCTTTGCGCAATGTCTCCGACCTTGCGAACTTGTCGGCATGCAATGCATCGAGCAATACTGTCCGCACCGTGTCGCGAGGCAGCTCGGCTTCGATCAGGACGTACCTGGGACTGTTGCCCGTGCCAACTCAAGTCAAAAGACGGCATGGGCGACATACAAAATGCAGCCTGAAAATGTTTCGCTCTTCGTTCCGCAACGCGATCCGGGCATGACAGTTGAATACGCACAATGGTGGAAGCAATACTCGTCAGCATGTGCTGCCGCCGTTGCTAATGCTGCAAGGATGAAACAACTTAATGTTGTAGTTATTAGCCCAAGAAAGATGAAAGCTGATGGTCTCAGTCTCAGTGGTGTAGATTGTGGCAAAAAGCGTCACTTGGAGGCTGGGATGACTCTGCAAGATGATACAGAGGATGAGATTCCGCTGGAAGAGAGGCTGAATAGTGTCATTCTAAAGACGGAAAGCCAGGATACAGAGATGCATATTTTGAAAGATGGCGAGACAAAGCAAAATTCAGAAACCGTGAAGGATTTGGTGCCAAGATGGGCAGGAAAAGGCAGACGTAGGGCAATTTCACGCAAAGTTGCTGAGAAAGCTTTCTCTGATGCAGAGGCAGTTTTGGTGAGTGAAGTTGATAAACCATCGTGTGGGCCGGTCACCAAGAATGAGAATTTTGAAGAGCAAGCATTAGGCTCGGTTATTCCGTGTGATGAGAAGAATTTCAGTTCAGAACATGGGGAAGTCGAGGGTGCAGCGACCGCTAGAAGCAACAAAGGCATTAGAGCTGCAATTGGAGCGGACATGTATTCAAATCTTCCAGACATCTTGGCCATCAGTGGTAATGAGTTGGATGAAATATTCAGAAAGGATAGCGAGGCGAGTGCAATTTATATGGAACTGTCCAAGTTGACGATGGCAGCATCCAACTCAGACCAGCCAAATGAAGAATTCGATCGACAACTGGTCACCATAAGAAGAGATGAGTCGAAGGAAATCATGGTCCAAAACAATAGTGATTATGAGCTTCCTACTGTCCAAAGTGATATCACTCTCAGACAAGGACCAGTTAAAGTAACTCATGCCACTAATGTTCAAACTAATGTTGATGTCTTAGAAGAATGCATTGATGAAATGCAGACACGCAATGTAATGGCAGAGGGAGATCAGAGAGCGAAGGTGGACAGAGAAAACTCAAAAGGTAATGAAATAGCACATGAAAATATCTCATCCTCATATCTAGCAATGGAGTCGCTTAAAGACTGTATAAAGGTTAATGCATACTTTTCCTCTTCCTTTTTGCAGGAATCAATGATGCATCTTATAATGGTCTAGTATATGGAAAGAATGAAGTGGTCAAGAGAGTAATTTCTACTAAAACACTCTACTATCTTAGACCATTCAAGCGGGTGAAAGATGCTCAGGTCAGAGATTCAAGAGCCACCAATGCAGGTCAAGTCATTTTCCAACCAGGACGGGAAGTCGGAACAACGGAAATGATTAGAGAGGCGTCTGAAGCTCGAGAAGCAGAAAAGGTTGAGTTGGAAACAATAATTGATCGTCTTAAGAAACAAGTCGTGGCGCTAGAGGTGCAGTTGCGGGGCAGGAGAACCTAGGAAATTTGAGGTATAACTTAACATAGTATAGTGGTAGCTTGGGTCTTTAGAAGACATCTCCCGATGAAGAGTACCACAAAATGGTGGGCTAGTCTTGCCGGTGAAATGATCTTCATCAGCTAATTGCGCGTGCAGAAACTACAGCTCCTTAAGCTCTGATTATATGTTCCTGGTTGCTTCTTTCTTTATGTTGTGAAATTCAGGGGAATACATAAGTGCTAGTTTGTTTGGTGGTATAGATAAACGATATGCAATCTTCACACTAAACAACCGATTTGACCATGACATACATATATGTGTGTGCTCTTGTTAACTGATCTTTTGACTTACATAAAACAAGCTGATTACCTCAGTTAGCTGTGATTAAAACAAACGGTGCTTCGCAGTTGATGTGCCAATGGCCAACTTCTGTACCAAGTAGTCAAACCGAGAATCCTGTCATAGTGGTTTCGACCTTCTAGGACATGAGTTCATTGGATGCATGGAATTGGCTAACAAGGATTCAACAGATTTGGGGTGTGCATATTTGGAAACAGTTTACTGATACATAGCTTATTTTCTATCTAAAGGTTGCCTATATACTGCAAATTAACATCTCTGCCCCTACTCATCTGTAGTATCATCTCTGAACATGATATTTTTACAGATTACAAAATTGTTCTATTAGCACATCAGCATCTTGCTTGTCCCCAGCGCATTTATGATTCAAAGTTGAGGAGCTACCAAAAGGTACTTTACTATGCAGAGAATACATTGAGTATGCAATGGCTGTATGGACACAGACAGTTGAACAGAACTTCAGAACTGCTCAAAGTTATTTATGTAGAGAGATAAGTTGTCTGAGAATGCTTACCTTGTCTTTCATTGCTAGGCCAGACTCCATAAGCAAAGATGTGTAGGCGCCAATAAAAATTTACTCATCTTAATGTGATTCTTGTCAGGTCATACAGCGTAGACATCCACATCTAGACTCTTCTAAAAGCAATCGCACTCCTCATCATATGTGTTCCTTTGCTATTACAGTGACAATAATTATCATGTTGGGTGAACTTGTAATATTATGTTGCTATATACTCCCTCCGTTCCCAAATACTTGTCTTTTTAGGCATTTCAAATGGACTCAACATACGGATGTATATAGACATATTTTAAAATGTAGATTCACTCATTTTGCGTCGTATGTAGTCACTTGTTGAAATCTCTAAAAAGACAAGTATTTAGGAACGGAGGGAGTACAGTAGAATCCATTCTTATACCGCCATATAAGTGCACCATCAGCTAACCATCTGATCCCCTACAAGAAAAGCTTGTAGCCACTGTAGTATGTACACAGCTACTTATAAGGCAGGCATAACCGAGAGCAAGCTTGCCACATTCACAGGGACCCCGCTGCCCGCTCTCCGTCATACTAACCAATGCCTGCCTCACATCATCTAGCATCTTGTTGGCCAAGAACGCCGAGACTACGGACAACATCCGGGACTGGCATTTCATCAAACACCCCGCGCGCGTCACGTCCGTGAGGTGGCCGCATAGAAAGAGGCGCAGCGTGTTGCCCGCGAACACGTCCGTAAGGTGGCCGCTTCTGAGCGCGGCGGCGTGGAGCTTGACTGCTTGACCCTTGGCTGCGTGCGCCTCAGCGGCGGCGTGGAGGACGAAGGGGAAGGTGCGGTCGTCCTGGCTCACGGCGGAGCAGAGCATGTGGATGTAAACGTACGCGCAGAGCTTAGGATGGGTGAGTTCCAGTCGTCCAGAGGAAGGAGGAGGAGGCGGGAGGAGGTTAGGTCGGCAATCGCGGCGTGGGAGAGGATGAGCGCGCCGGCGCCGGCGAGGGCCGAGGGACCGAGGAGGTTGTTGTCGTCGCGGCATTGGTGGAGGTGCGCGTGCACGAAGGAACGCGGCTGTCAAGTGGCTGGCGGGAGCGCGCTGCTGCAGTTGATGATTATTTTGACCATTTGAGTAGTTCAGGCTGGTCTTGTGGATGTAAAATGCTCATTTCAACTTAGACATGTTTTTCTTCTTCTCCTTGTAACTTGTCTTTCATCATTATTTCAACGCAACTAACCCTTCTGCTTGCGTCCCTAGATTTGGTATGAGTTTCCTAGCCAATTGTTTTCAAATATATATTAAAATAGTTTAAAAATATTAACTTGTTTTAGGTAAATTGTTTTAAAATATGAAGGAAACATTTATCAAAAACTTACAAACAAAATGTTAATTGGAATGGTTTCCTAGCCAATTATTTTCGTGTCAACCACACATTTTCTTTATGCCTTCAATCTTCCTCAGTGTTATCATTGATATATTCTTAATAATAATTAAAAACTTGTGAGGTGTGTAGTCGATATGTACATCTTTAGCAAATGTTAGTGGATTTTATTTTTATTTTTTGTTATCCCTGATGTTCTTTATACTAGCATGACTGTTGATGAATAGATCAGAAATTTTACCCACAAATAAAATAAAAATAAATTTGAATTTCACCCTTCCACTTCTCCCGGTCCATTGCTGTATTTCCATCAATAGTATGTAAGAATTTTCCATAATAAGAATTAAATACATATAAGTATGGCTTCTACAACGATGGACACCACCAGATGAGGGTTGGGTCAAAGCAAATTCGGATGGGGCCATACCGAAGCATGCTGAGAAGGGAGGAGGAGCAGTAGTTCTGCGGGACCGGATGATGACTTTAGAGCTCGGACAACAGAAGACTAAAAAATGGAACACGGCTAATCACCGGAGGGAGAGTGTGACGTCCTTCAATATCCTGTTGTTGCTTGTCCTTCCGCAAAAGGGGCGGACAAGTCGATCCAACCGGACAAAAAAGACAAAGCTCACGTGCATTTGGGTCAACATGTTGGAGTTGCGGTGAGGAGGAAAAAATGCCTAGCGGCGACACATCTAGATCAACTAGAGGCGAGGAGAGAAAAGGGGCGTGTTGGCAGCAGGGGGCAACCTTCAAGGATTTGGGTGTGTTTTAGAAGTTGCCTCCTACCACATATATATACGAGAAGGGTTGGGTGCGTTTTGCTGCGCGTTGGTGTAGTTGAGTTATCTAAAAAATCACTATATTTTAAAATATAAGGTGTATTACTTTCTTGAAAAGGAAAATATTTTAAGTTTGATTAAATTTGTAGAGAAATGTATCAAAATCCATAATATCAAATTGATATTTTTAGATTCATCATGAAATGAATTTTCATACTTTTTTGTTTAATATTGTGGATGTCGATATTTTTGCTTTGAACTCAGTCAAAGTTAAAGAAATTTTACTTTCTAAAAAACTATCACCCCTTATATTTTGGAACTAATGTAATATTTTGTTTGGCGGGTGGGGGAGATGATAGAGTGTGTATTATTTTTATTTATAATGCGTAATTTGATGATTCTTTCGTGGTGTGATTTTGTGTTATCCGCTAACCAACCTATATTTATGTGAAAAAAATTCTATGTGAGTGGTTGCATGTACTACATTGGTGCTACAATATTACATGATGACGCTTCTTTTTTGTAGGTGGTCGGTGGGTGCGCGGGATTGATATGTTTTTATAGCCCGGTTGCTGCTGATTGATTTGAAAAATTGTTGGTCCGGTCAAAATCATAAACCAAATTCAAATTTGAATACCTCAATTGAATGGAAGAGCTTCAAACTTCAGCAAATAGTGAATTGAAAGAATTGAATGGAAGAGCTTGAGAAATTGTTGACCCGGTCAAATCATTTGACCCAATTCTAAATTGAATACCTCAATTAATTGTGAGGCCTTAAAAATTAAAAAGTATAATGGATAGTATAAAAGAATGTATGATATAAAAGAATTGAATGAGAGACCTTTGAGAAATTGTTGACCCGTTTCAGGTGATCCAATTCTAATTGATAACCTCAATTGAGTATGAGCTCTTTAAAATTAGAGAGCTTAGCGTTATAGAGGATGTAGGTGGCGGTGAGAAAACGGAACTTGAGGAGAGGGGGCCTCCCCAAAATCGGCCAAAGCCAAAAGGAGGAGTCAAACTCCACCTGCACGCCAGAAGCCGTCTGCGGAGGTTTGGTCACGATTTACGGAATTTCGGACATCTGGACTTGTCTGGACAATTTGATAACCGAATGGCTAAAAGTGTCGAAATAATTCAGTCAAAACGTCTGCGTATGCTTTGCAGCAGCCAAAGCTGATGTCGTCGTCTGCCACCCATCACCATGGCAACATCTCTGACATCTCTACTCCGGCGCGTAGGAAAGTGAACAGCCTAATTTACTTCCTCCCCACTTTACTTTTTGTTATTTTATTATTACTGCCTCCCACCCACCCCAAATTCCACGGAGCACCTTCCCGACTCACGCTCGCCTTGCTCTGCGCCGCCCAGAAAACCCCAGCCCACCCAGAGCGCCACCGGCACCGCAATGTCCAGCGACGACGAGCTCCGCGGCCTCCTAGTACAGGAAGCCACCACCGCGATCGTCTCCGGCGCCGATCCCTCCCGCCCCTCGGCCCGATCGGCCCACTTCCTCCTCCCCCGCGCGGGGGGCGCTCGCCTCCCCGCTCTGCCGTCCCCGCCCCGCAATGCCGGCCCTGTTCTTGGCGACGAGCTCCCTGTGGATTGGACGGCCTGGCCCGGCTCCTCGAAGCTGTGGAGGCGGTGGGTGGCCAGGCTCCGGCCGCGGCATGAGCGCCTGTGGCGGAAGCTTGGGATCTTGGACGCCGTCCTCGCGACCACCGGCTGGGTGCGGCGGGACGAGGGCCTGCTGCTGCAGCTCGCGGCTTTCTGGTCCGGCGACACCAACACGTTCGTCTTCCCGTGGGGCGAGGCCACGGTGACGCTGGAGGACATGGCCGTGCTCGGGGGCCTGCCCCTGTTGGGCCGGCCGGTGTGGTCCCGGCTCCCGGACGAGCTCCGCGGCGACGTGGACGCGCTCGAAGCCGCCCGGATCGCGCCCAACAGATGCAGGAACAAGAAACCCTCGTTTGCCCAGTGGGTTAAGCGATTCGTGGAGCCGCCGACGGGGGAGGTCGCTGCCGCCGGCAGAGGAGAGGCCGAGGCGGCCACATTGCTCGAGCACGGGGCGTTTCTGGCCATGTGGTTGACCAGATACGTGCTTCCGGCGCCGCCATTCGACGTGGTCAGACCGGACGTGTTCCCCCTCGCCGCCGGACTGGCGCGCGGCAGGTGCTCGGCCCTCGCACCCGCCGTTCTTGCCAGCATCTACAATGACCTCTCCGCACTCAGTCACCACTTAAGCTTGGGCACCACCCATCAGCCGTTCGTGGCGAGTGCGCCACTGCACATCCTCCAGCTATGGGTCTGGGAGCGCTTCCCAGAGCTTCGTCCTGAGACACCAAACACTGCCTCCCACGGCGACGATCAGGGCATGCCGAGGGCTGTCAAGTGGCACAACATCAGAAACCCGCTTGATCCTGGGTACATCCACGCCGTGCTCATGTCCCCGGAGGAGTTCGAATGGAGGCCTTATGGAGGCAGTAGCTTTGCTCTGCCACAAAGCAAAGATGGCAAAGATGGCTGCTGGGTGCACTGCCATGTTGTAGCAACAAGCAAGGAGCTGCAATCCTTTGCGCAGTGTCTGCTACCTTGTGAACTCGTCGGCATGCAATGCATCGAGCACTACTGTCCGCACCGCGTCGCAAGGCAGCTGGGCTTCGATCAAGACGTGCCCGGGACTATCCCCCGTGCCAATTCATGTCGAAAGACCGCGTGGGCGACATACAGGATGCGGCCTGAAGACGTTTCCTTTTTCGTTCCGCAACGTGATCCGGGCATGACGGTTGAATATGCACAATGGTGGAAGCCTTACTCGTCAGCATGTGCTGCTGCTGTTGCTAATGCTGCAAGGATGAAACAACTTCATGCCGCAGTTATTAGCCCAAGAACCATGAAAGCTGAAGGGCTCCCTGCCCCTGCTGGTGTAGGAGATGCGCAGGACTGCACCGAGTCGTCCAAAGATATCATCATGGTGCACAACAATTGTGGTTATGAGCTTGCTAATAATGTCCAAAGTGATACCACTCCCAGTCAAGGATCCACAGTTAATAAAGTAACTCATGTCACTAGTGTTGATGTCTTTGTCTTAGAAGGATCCATTGATGATGAGGTGCAGACACACAATGTCACAGAAAAGGAAGTTCAGAGAGCGAAGGTGGATACAGAAAGCTCAGGTGTTTTGGAAGGTAAAATGAAATAGCACATGAAAACATCTCAGCCTCATATCTACTGTAGAAGAATTGATGAATCGTCACAGCAAGCTATTGCTAATGCATACTTTACCTTTTTTTTCTGTAGGAAACAATGATGATGCATCTTGTGATGGTCTAGTGTATGGAAACAGTGAAATGGTCAAGAGAGTAATTTCTACCAAAACACTCTACTATCTTAGACCATTCGAGTGGGTGAAAGATGCCCAGGTCAGAGATTCAAGAGCCACCAATGCAGGTCAAGTGATTCTCCAACCAGGACGGGAAGTCGGGACACCGGAAATGATTAGAGAGGCGTCTGAAGCTCGAGAAGCAGAAAAGGTTGAGTTGGAAACAATAATCACTCGTCTCAAGGAACAAGTTGTCGCGCTAGAGATGCAGTTGCGGGACAGGACAACCTCTAAAATTTGAGGTATAACTTAACATAATATCATAACGGTAGCTTGGGTCTTTAGAAGACATCTCCTGATGAAGAGTGCCACAATATGGTGGGCTAGTCTTGCCGGTGAAATGATCTTCATCAGATAATTGTGAGTGAAGAAACTGCAGCGCTTACACCCCATTAGATTCTAATTGTATGTTCCTGGTTGCTTTTTCTGTATGTTAACTTGTGAAATTCAGGGGAATACATAACTGCTAGTTTGTTTGGTACTAGTATATATAAACCCTATGCAATCTTCACATTAAGCTGAGATAGATATGCGTGCCCTGGCTAACTGATCCCTTTTTTTTTGTCTATTCCCTTTCTACTTATACTCTTTCCAGCTGAGATAGATTCAGAAACTGTGGCATACCATATTTGGACACAGACCGCTTGTCTGAAGCCAACTAGGCCGCCAGAGGTTCAAACTTACTAGACATAAATTCATTGGATGAATGTGGTCAGCCAATAGGGGTTCAACAGTAACAAATTTATGATGTGGATAGATGAAAACAGTTTACTGGTACATAACTTATTTTCTATCTAAAGCAGGTTGCCCAGATACAGATTAACATCTCAGCCTCTACCTCATATGTACTACCATCTCTGGACATGATATTTGTTACGGATTACAATGTTGTTCTATTAGCAAATCAAGATTATATTCTTGCTTATCCTGATCTACTACTCAAAGTTGAGGAACTAGCAAAAAGTATTTCACTGTGCAGGGAATATAGTCAGTATGCCGATGACTGTATGGACGGAGACAGTTGAACAAAAGTTCAGAAGTGTCCAAAGTTATTTATATAGAGAGACAAGTTGTCTAAGAATTGCTTATCCTGATTTACTACTCAAAGTTGAGGGACTAGCAAACGCTATTTCACTATGCAGAAAATATATCGAGTATGCTAATGACTGTACCGACGGAGACAGTTGAACAGAAGTTCAGAAGTGCCCAAAGTTATTTATGTAGAGAGACAATTTGTCTAAGAATTGCTTACCTTCTCTTTCGTTGATAGGTAGACCGGTAGCGCCAATCAATATTAAGTCATCTTAACAGGATTATTGTCAGGTCATACAGCGCAGCCACTAGAGCTTCTAAAAGCCTTTGCACTCCTTATCGTATTCTTTAGCTATTACAGTGACAATATTTTTCAGGTAGGTTGAACTTGTAATATACGTAGTATTTTGAAAGATTACATTACCAGCATATAAGTGCACCATCAGCTAACCACCCCCGAGCCCTGACAAGAAAAGCTTGTAGCCAGTTGCCACTCTGTACCCAGCTATAGGATGGATTTCTCTGTACCTTCCTGGATTTCATTAAAATGTCCTCATATTGATTGATGGTCTCGTTCCAGCTTCAAACCCAAACCCCTGCTCATCTTGATTGATGGCTCCATACCCAAGCAGCTACAGCCGAGAGCAAGCTTTCCACGTTCTTGAACATGCTTGGCATGTGTGTATGTCTGGTTTCATTCTTGCACTGGGGGAAGCTCCCTCGTCTTATAAAACAAGAAGCTTTCCACATTCACAGGGACCCGGCTCCCCGATGGGCAGTATTTTGATCTCATCTCGCACCTTCTATTATATGTTTGTCTTTATTACATTTATTTTATTAATTATTTTATATACTTACCGTATCGCTGTATTGATGTTTCTGAAAATTGCCGTATCCCGTATCGCCGTACTCGTATCGCCGTATCGGTGTGGCCGTATCGGTGCTTCGTAGCCCATAATGCTAACCAATGTCTGCCCCGCATCATCCTGTTGGCCCACGAGACAAACGTCCCGAGCGGGCATTTCATCAAGCGCCCTGCACGCGTAACGGCCAGCATAGGAAGAGGCGAGCCTAGGTGGCCGCGTACATAAGTCAAACAATCAAAACAATAAGAAATATAACACTAACATCCAGATGTACTTGCAAATTCTTTACTACTACTACTAGATGAAGTCAATCATTGCTTTAATCTCCACCTATAGTCCTTGGATGTAACATAAATATTTCTATCATCGTTGTGTGCCCATCCCAATCGCCAAGATACCAATCTCAATCTGTTTTCTTCTAGCACTGAGAAAACACCACTATGGTCAAGAATGGCTTTGATTCATATCCAACCAAATGTATTAGCCACCCTGTTGACCATGTAGCGACAATTTGATTATCAGGCCTGCCAAAAATTATTTGATTATCTGAGATATATATCTGGGTTTCTTCTGTTCAAATAAATTCTGTAGTAATTCCAGGAGATTCTGTGAACTTTAATGTTCATTTTAGTAAGATTGTAAACTATAGAAACTTGGCTTATGGTCTATGCTGCATGTAAGGAAAATTTCCGTCGAACAAATCTCATGTGGTGCAACCAAAATTCCTAGCACACTTTTTTTTGCGATTTCAGTACCTCCGGAATTCAACATGGCATGTGATCTGAATCCTATGTATTTTCTGTCCTTATGCTTTTAGCATCCTTCAAATCAAAGAGGCCCCATATTTCAGTTTTGAATACTTGAGTCATAGGACGTGACCATTGATTGATGCAATGGTTGAGATCAAAGGGATTAACCAGAAGTCCGCTTTATTATAATCAAATCATGCAAAATGGCTGACCGGGCTCAGCATAAACTAATACAGAATGCATGACAAATTATAAGGGGTGCGTTTATTTCATTTCATATTGTATCTCGAAAGAGTCCATGCGTACATAAACTTTGGATGCGATTTGCACGTATGGGACGTGGTAGTTGTACTTGCGGATAAAATAGAGATCGACAAAATTACTAAATAACACTCAATGAGCTAACACAAATTATAATATACAATAACATATTTCGACAAAGTACAATGCAACATATACAGTAAAAAGGTACACTCTCTCAATCTCTGCAGCCAAAGATGCACACATCAATTAGTAAACCAACAAACTAAGGCACAAAAACAGTAGCTTCCAACAAGAGGTTAGTCTTCCGACGCGCCGTGATCCCATATGCCTCGGTCATATCAAGCTTCTCCGGACTCGCACCATCGGGGAGCCTCCAGTCGAAGTGATAGAGAAGGCTCGCGAGAGCAATCTCCATGTTGGACACACCAAACATCATACCAGGGCACATCCTTCGACCGGCGCCACCAGGGAGGAACCTGAAGTCGGTACCACCGTAGTCCACCTTCTCGACCTCGAACCTCTCGGGCTTGAACTCGCTCGCGTCGGTCCAGCTCTTCTCGTCCCTGCCGATGGCCCACACGTTTGCAAACACCGTGGTGCCCGGAGGCACGTCGTAGCCCATGATTTTTTTCTGTTCCGTGCACAGCCTCGGGAGGAGCAACGGCACCGGAGGGTGCAACCTGAAGGTCTCCTTGATTACCATCTGGAGGTAGTGGAGCTGGCCGTCGATGTCCGCCTCGGCCACCTTGGTCTTGCCTTGGAGCACTCGCCGCACTTCAGACTGTGCGATGGCCATTGTCCGTGGGTTCCTGATAAGCTCCGACATGGCCCAGACGGTGGTCGTCGCCGTCGTCTCTGACCCGGCGGAGAAAATGTCCTGATGTAAAAGAAACAGTTGAGACACTTCATACTCCGCAGATGTGGCGCTGGCGCAGGAAAGGGGATGCATGGCAGAAATGGTGGTAGTGAGTGCTGAGTGACTTACGAACAAGATGCCGTTGACATTCTCGTTCGTGAGGGCGATGCCGCCCATCCCACCGTCCCTCTGGAACCGCAGCAGGGTGGTGAGGATGTCCTCGTTCTCATGGCCGGCGCCGGCGGCAGTGGCTTCCTCGCTCTCCATCGCCCTCTTGTGGTCCTCGACCATGGCGTCCAAGATGGACTGGATCCTCTCGCGCACCTCCCATGCCGCCCTCAGGGACCTACCGCCGAGCGCCCGTGCCAGGCGCGACGTCGGGAACAGGTCGGTCAGGTTGAACCCGGACAAGACGCCCAGCCCCCTGTCCAGCTCCTCCAGGTACAGCTCCCGCTGCTGGCACCGGTCGCCGACGGAGACCCTCATGATGACGTCGTTCATCATCACCTTCACCCTCTCGCTGACGTTGACGGCGGCCGCGGTGCCGGCATCAGCGACGACGGACCGCACGAGCCTCGCCGCCTCCTCCTCCCGGATGGGGCGGAAGGAGCGGACGCGCCTCGGGCTGAGCAGCTCCACGCTGCACAGCTTCCGGGCGGTCTTCCAGTGCCGGCTGTCGAGGCGTGCGAAGGAGATGTTCTGCCCTCCGTAGGTGAGGACGTCCGCGGTGGCGTACACGGGCCGGTTGGCGAAGGCGGCGTCATGGACCTTCATCACCTCCCTTGCCGCCTCCGAGGAGGAGAGCACCAGCGTCGGGACGTGGCCCAGGCGGAGGAGCATGACGGGCCCATGCCGCCGGGCGAGACTGCGCATGGCCTGGTGCGGCAGGGCGCCCAGCAGGAAGTGCATGTGGCCGATCACCGGCAGCGCCCATGGGCCGGGAGGCAGGTTCAGACGGCCGGCAGAGTCTGGTCTGATCTTGAGCTTGAGCTTGAGGACTATGGTGACGACAAGGACGCAGAGGAGACTGTAGCAGACGAGCTGAACGGGTGTGGTTTCTGCCATTTGAGCTAGCTCCATCGATCGAAGGTGTAAAGATTGGAAAATCCAGCTTGGCTATATAGGACTTTGAACGAGGTATATACTACTCCCTCCCTCCCAGCGTTAGCGTTTTTACACTTTATGCAGTGTCACAAACACTCCTATATTATGAGACGGAGAGTATAATATCAAAAACGCTCTTATATTATGAAACGAAGGGAGTTAGTAAACAAATCTAGAGTACATGAAGTGCAAGCGACACAAATGAGACATAAATAAGTCGGAGGCACATATCATTGTGTTTCATAGCGCATCACCGTGTCTTAGTGTGTTCCTGTGCTCATCAAATTTGTTTCATTTTGACTTAAATAGGTCGGAGATATATATCATATCCGAAGACTTGCCAATTTCTAATGTCAAATAACATCTTACATTATGAGACGGGGGAGGATCTTTTTGTGTTTGTACAAAAATGTCCTCCCAAATCACAGCAAGACATGTGAACCAAGTGCAACTTAAATGGTTAGATTTCAGTGGTGGAACAAATCTATCCGGGTTCAAGTCCTTTCATTGGCCCAGGTGCATACGTGTTGTCAGCATCTACCCCTGTACGGTATTAAAAAAAATCACAGCTACACATGTATATTGGCAAAGAATCCATACATCGCAACAAAATCAACATAGCCAGTGTGGAATAAAAGCGGAGAAACAGGGGAGGCAAGGCAGATAAGAAACTGTGTCAGGTGAAAGGGGCGGAACAAGATAAATTTACAAGAAAGAGCAAAATCCAAATGCATGTGAATATACATGGGTGCGGCTGCAGATTTCCGAGGAAGTGTAGGGCCGATGCATGACAGAGAAGCATTTCTCCAAGATATGGTAAACAAATCGAGAATCCATGTAGCGTACACAAGCGACGGAAATCGGTAGTACCATGAAAGAGACGCACGAATTAACTTGTTATATTGCTTGGCCTTGCTGTGTGGAATTGGCAATTAGTGAATCATGGAGCTAGCGCATCTATGAAAGAGATCAATTCTGTCGCATCATACTGGGAAATGAAACAGGAGATGGACAGGACAAGAGGAAACGGAACGGCATCCAGAAGTTTGGCGTTCCCCGTTGGTGAGCGCTGAACAGCATCTCAGTTAGAGAAGTGGATACCATCAGCCTCTCCATCAAATGACGGAGGGAGTAGTTATTTTTATTGCATTGTGCAAATCCTAAGAAAAGTTAATTGAAGCTCATGCATCACCAATCATGTGGCTAGATCGTCATCCAAATTGATCGAATAACGCCGGAGTTATCGTCTTCAAGTAGTTCCACCCCGAGTCCATTGTATCCCGTGCCTCCTCCGAATCCTTTAGTCCAAATAAGCTGAAGAATTTGTACTACCAGAAACATGTAGTGTTTATCTAAATATCTTAATGAGTTAAAAAATACCCAATTTTGGATATGTTTAGCAAAACAACCAATATTTTGTAACTATGTAGTCCAAATAAGCTCAAAAATTGCATTACTATTGGAAACATTTAATATTTGCTACTCCGCCGATCCATATTAATTGTCGCTGTTTTGATACAACTTTCTAGTACTAAATTTTTTAACCAAATTTTGGTTTTGTTTAGGAAAACAATCAACATCAGTTGAGGTAGCGTTGGGCTCTGGCACAACAAGGGGGAATTAGAAATGCTTGGAAACCAATTGTGCAAAGACTCTCTCTTCATTTCTAGAAATAAGAATAGAAATGAATTCATGGATTAATTACAACTACAACTAGGGTTCCCCCCGCCTCCTGTCGGCGTCGCCGCCGTTCTGCCCCGCCTTTGTGGCCTTCGGGCCATGGAGGCGTTGTGCATCTCGGTCCTTGTCAGTGGAAGGGTTATGTTTTATGGTGTTAGGGTCAAGATTTGTTGGGGCGGTGCTCAGATGGTGGTGGTGCTGCCTCGTTCAATAAAGTCTCCATGGTTTCAATCCCATCTGGGCGGTGACATTGAGAGGCGTGTGGGAGTGGTGTGGTTCTCAAGGATTTCTTCTGGTCGTGGGGATTTCCGGATCGCCAAGGGGATGTTGCCAGGCATCGTCGGACCAGGCGGAGATGCCGTCGAGCGCCTCGTCAGGCGTGGGTGATCGAGATTTTTTTTGACGGCCAATGGCAAGAGCTCTGCCTTTTTCATTATAAGTAGAGGGATTTCTGTACATGACTAAGTAGTCAGCGATGAAAAACAAAAAAGAGGAAAAGGAAAAGAAACAAGGCTAATTGGAACTACTCGCGGTAAGCCAGTTCAAGTAACTGGATGTCAGCCCTTATCAAAGAAGCCACCTTGTTATGCCGAAGCTCCTTTTGTTCGAAGGTTCTGCGATTTCTCTCTTTCCGGATGTTCCAGGCTACGTACTTCCTCCGTTCCTAAATATTTGTCTTTCTAGATATTTCAATAAGTGACTACATACGAAGCAAAATGAGTAAATCTACATTCTAAAATATGTCTATATACATCGGTATGTGGTATTCCACTTAAAATATCTAGAAAGACTTATATTTAGGAACAGAGGGAGTACATGGCAGTGGAAATCATGTGTTGTTGCCGGGTTCTTCATCATCCTCGTGGTTTGGCTCCACCACACATTTAGAGTTCAAGGCCCAATGGTGAGAGCAGAGTCTCGTGGTTGCGTGTAGTCGATGGCCGCCCAGATTGATTGAGAGAAAGAGCAGCCCAGGAAGAGACGAGCTGCCGATTTCATTTCCTGATCACAAAGCTTGCAAAGATCTGAGTGTGGCCCTCCTCTAGCAGCCAAACGGTCGGCAGTCCAAAGCCGGTTTTGAAGAAGTAGCCAAAGGAAGAAATTCACTTTGGCTTTCCTCTCTTGTTCGCCAAATAGCATGGAGCTCAGGCCTCCTCACAAACCCCCAAAACTGAATGTTGTATGCAAATTTTGCGGTGAAATGGTTGTTGTTGTTGAGTTTCCAAACAATGCTATTCAAAATTGTAGTCAGCTGAACAGTCTGAATCATCTTCTATAGCTTACTGAATTGTGTCAGTTGCTCCACATTCATAATCATGTGTGGCCGTCTCATCCATTTGCCCCCAGTCAGCCCATCATAGACTGAGATATTTTTCCTTGTGGCCAGCATGTAGAGAGAGGGTGCTGCCTCGGCGAGAGGGAGATCGTCAATCCATCGCTCCTTCCAAAAGGATGTCGATCGATCATCTCCAACATTGATCTTTGTGCATGCCACAAACAGGCAGGGCCGGCCCTGAGGGGGGCAGGGGGGGCGGCCGCCCCGGGCCCCCGATGGCTTGGTTATCTTATGTGTGTGATATTTAGGAAAGAGTTGTAATTTTTTGGAAATAATTCTTTCCCGTGTTGACAGATCGCCTAATTCTAAAAAAGGTATAAAGAATTATTTGCATGTAACAGATCACCTCATTTTTACGTGTTTGTTGTTTAGGAAAGAATTCTTTCCCATGTAACAGATTGACTAATTAATTCTCAATCAAAAATGGAAAGAACTGTAACAGAGCGATTAATATTAATTCTGGCCTTGCCTCACGCGAGTGCTGTTCTCGTCTTTCTATTTCTTCTCTTCTAAAATTGGCAACCAATCGGCCATGCCAATGCAAAGTTCAACGCCATGTCACCCGCATGGTCTAATTGTGATTTTCGGCTGCCGGACGCGATTAGTGGAGGAAGGTAATACGATTTTCAAGATTCCATCAACGTCCTCTTCTTTTTATATAGTCTTGTATGATTGTTGAGTTCATGAAGTTTTAATCCCCGTATTTTTTGGGAATAGACAAGGGAAACTGGGGTTTCTGTCTGTGACTAGTAAGCAGCAGCAAAAGCTTGCAATTTCTATTTTCTAGCCATCAAGGTACCTTATTCCATGCCTCTTTCTTGGCATTTTTTTATTTAATTAGCAGTGTTCTTCATTTCTTGTATCGCATGTGTGTGCTACTTAGCAAGAATGCTATTAATTTAGTTCCAAAGTATCCATTTGACAAAGAAAGAGAGAGAAAAAAAAGAACATGCATATGAGTTGATTGAGTCCTACAAAAATGTTCTACTGCTTCCCCAGAAACAAAGAATGTGCTGCTAGGGATTTCGACGAATTAGCTTTAGTTACTGTTGAAGAACAACCTGGCGAAATATTATAAGATGATAAAAATTTATGTTGGCACAGAAGTTTAACTAATTCACCTAATAAAAAATATAAGTATCGATTGAAAAGAGTAAAAAAATATAAGTATCAATTGAAAAGAGCGACCAACTTTTATGTGCCTTTTTTTTTGAATAGTTGAGATAACAAGGAAGCATAAATTATAGTGTAAAATTTGAGATTGGAACAAAAACACATATATTTATATAGCTTTAGGGCCCCCTTTTTGTTATCTTGCCCCGGGCCCCCGGAATCTCAGGACCGGGCCTGCAAACAGGTTCCGGTCGACGGCGTCGCAAGGCACCTGCATCCCTTTCCAAGGTCTATCCACCGGGTCCCAATCAAACCAGAGCCATCTTAGCCTCAATACAGTTGAAATATATTGCTCGCCTCCCTTCATCAGTTCGGACTTTTGGATGAGTTGGCTGGAGTATGAATTCAGTATGGTATCTGAGCCAAGAGGTCTTGAGTTCAAGACCCTGCCAATGCAATATTAAATAAAAAGATCCCGCGGCCTACATCGATCCCACGTCTAAGGACTAAATAAGCCTAGACGTGAAGGGAGTGTTGAAATATATTGCCCGCCTCCCTTCATCAGTTTGGACTTTTGGATGAGTTGGCTGGAGCATGAATTCAATAAATACTCGGTTGTATCTCTCTAAGTTATTTACACCAGGCCACCACAATCCTTTGGGGAGCAAACTTTCCTCCAGTTAACCAAACATTTTCTTTCGGCAGCCTCGTCTTCGCCACTCCACATGAAGCTTCTTCTAATTTTATCGATCCTCTTGATGAGCCATTTGGAGGGTATGAAGGTCGTAAAGAGATATGTGATGAGAGCAGTGAGAACAGAGTTAACCAATGCAAGTCTTCCCACTCT